CCTGAAATGGGGCTGTTCTTGTGAGCAGTGGCTGTTGAAAGCTGTTGTTGTTTCTGGGTGTGGAGTGCCCGTGGCTAAGCAGCAGGCCAAGGGGCCCGGGCACTTCCCTCTGCCTCAGTGCTCTTCCATCAGACCCTCCTCCACTTGTCCATGTTGCTGGAAGAGCCGAGAACACGTTTGTGTTAGTGACTAAGAGCCTCCCCTGCAAGGTGCCACACGGGAAGGATGTGAAAGGTCGTGCGAAGGGGGACCAGCTCCTCTCTCCCCCTTCCTTGTGGCCTTTTGCTCTGACTAAATTGTCTGCTGGCAGAAGCACACATTAGTGAGAGCTCTTCAGCGGTAATCATTTTAAATTGGCAATTGCCCTGGTGTACCGAGGAGCCTGGCTTGGGAGTCAGCTGCTGTCTCTGACCCCCATATTTAGAGGTGCAGCACCTTGCCAGGCGTGGCCTGGCTGGGAAAGCAGGTGGTTCTTCATGTCCCTGGTCCATGTGCAGCTTGGGTGTGTCATCACTCGCTGTGACGAGGTTGCCTCCGTTCTTCTGTGCTCATACCTCAGCTAATGTGGCTGTAGTTGTTCCGTGCTCACTAATTAGAGCCATCAACCCCAAGGTCCAGAGGCCTCCTGACAGTGTGACTGTCATACTGGTGTCTTAACTGGTTGAGTGTAATTGTCTTTAGGCAGCGGTGGAGCATCTGGAGCCTTCCTTTTCCACCTCCATCCCCCTATCTCCCCTGGCTCCTCCTGGCTGTTGTGAGTAAGCACGCTTAGACCACACTTAGGAGTTCATGCAGCTCCCTCTGCCCTAACCAGTACTGTCCCTGGTGAAAATGCCTGTGCGCAGCATGCTTCAGCAGGACCACGTCCTCTGCTGTGCTGCTGTCTCCCGTAGCTGTGGAGCCTGTGCATGGGTCCTACCGCTCCTGCTCGCTCAAGTCGGAAATCTGCTTCCTTAGTGAAAGGGGCAAGGGCTTGTGATTTGCACGCTTCTTTGGCTTTGAAGAACAGAATTCATTCAAGTGGCTGTCTGGAAAGTTCCCTGTTTATGAAAATAACTGGGTTTGCCTGTGTCTCCTAGAGCTACAGGTTAGTGTGCTTGGAGATGCAGAAGTCTGAGGAGAATCGCCTGTGTTCTGGGTATTAGTACTGGGGCTGCTGGCTAGGAACAAGGACAGCTGCTGCCACCTGTGAGCACACTGCCGGTGACCTGCCCTTTCCAGACACCACTTCTCTGTGGCATTAGCTGTGTGTGTGAGAGATGCAGGCCAGGTGAGGAGGTGAGGCCAGCTGGTGGTGGCACACAGATGCTGAGTCAGCAAGGCGGGCTGACTGCAGGTGGACCGACCGGCAGGGAGTCTGGGATGGTCCCTGGAGTGGGTGGGAGGGCTATGGTGTGTAAGTGGTGGAGGGATTGGAGCTAGCACTGATGGAAGGAAGCATGTGTGAAGAAGCTGAGGGCCTGCGAGCCAGAGCCTCAGGAGGAGCACACGTTTGTGTTGGTGTGCAGGGGTGGCTGGAGTGCTCCTGTTAGCTGTGCCCTCTGGTGTCCAGCCCTTCTCCCCTGTCATCCCCCAAATGAGGACATTGCAGTCGTCATCATCTTACACAGCTCACTTCTTCTGTGTGGCTCAAAGGTGTTTTCTTTGTGGTATTTTGTTGCTGATGCCTCAGAACTCTCTAGAGGGCAGTGAGCTGGAGCCCTGATTCCTCAGAGCCTGCTCTCTGATCCCTGCTCCTCCCACTGTAGCCCCAAGGGGGCAGGCGTCAGCGTGAAGTTGGCTGCTGACAGGCATGGTCACCAACGGACAGCACCGGACAGCACCGATGAGGGCCGAGGGACTGTGGGAACTCCTGGGGGAACACAGCATGAAGACCATGGCTGTGCTGAAGCAGTCCAGCCAGGGCTGCTGGGAGCAAGACTGTTCGTGACTGAGTTGTGGTTCCTTTCATTGAGCTGAACCTCAAGAGTGGACTCAAGGTCTAGACTCACGCTAGCCTTCCTGTTGTCTCTCTAGCTGAAACAGTGGTTGGATTCCAGTGAACGACCTGAGTCAGACTGAGGGTGCTGAGCCGGGTGCAGTTGAGGGGGGCAGTTACTGTAGGGGGTTCTTCATCAATAGTGGTCATCCAGATCACTTCCTGAGGAGCCTGGGGCCTATGGCTGTACTTGTTCAGGGCCACATCAGTCTGCAGCTTTGGTTATGCATTGTCACTGTTGAGGACAGAGAGGAGGGTTAGTGGTCATTGGGGTGGCAGCAGTCCAATGTTGGGAAGCCTCCTACTGTGTGCTCCTCTTGACAGGGTGCTGTCTGGACTCTGTCCTGCAGAGTGAGCTCATGACCACATGACTGTAGATGGATAGTTGGGGGAGTGCTGCAGTGTGATCTAAAGCAATTCTCCTGAGTCAGGGCCCACGCAGAGTCATCTCATTAAGAAATCTCCCCTCGGGTGGCTGAGATGGTTAAGCACTTGTCCTGAAGAGCCTGGCCTCCTGGTCCATCTGAGGAACCCACAAGAGGGTAGGAAGAGAGGCCATGCAGCAAAGTTGTCCTCGGGCTGTCACACATGTGCCCTCCTCCCGCACACATGTGCCTCTCCTCCAGCACACATGTGCCCTCCTCCCGCACACGTGCCCCTCCTCCAGCACACGTGCCCCTCCTCCAGCACACATGTGCCCCTCCTCCCGCACACGTGCCCCTCCTCCCGCACACGTGCCCCTCCTCCCGCACACATGTGCCTCTCCTCCAGCACACATGTGCCTCTCCTCCAGCACACATGTGCCCTCCTCCCGCACACGTGCCCCTCCTCCAGCACACGTGCCCCTCCTCCCGCACACGTGCCCCTCCTCCCGCACCCGTGCCCCTCCTCCCGCACACATGTGCCTTTCCTCCCACACACATGTGCCTCTCCTCCAGCACACATGTGCCCTCCTCCCGCACACATGTGCCTCTCCTCCAGCACACATGTGCCCTCCTCCCGCACACATGCCCCTCCTCCCGCACACGTGCCCCTCCTCCAGCACACATGTGCCCCTCCTCCAGCACACATGTGCCCCTCCTCCAGCACACATGTGCCCCTCCTCCAGCACACATGTGCCCCTCCTCCAGCACACATGTGCCCTCCTCCAGCACACATGTACCTTCTTCCCGCACACATGTGCCCTCCTCCAGCACACATGTGCCTTCTTCCCGCACACATGTGCCCCTCCTCTAGCACACATGTGCCCTCCTCCAGCACACATGTGCCCCTCCTCCAGCACACACGTGCCCCTCCTCCAGCACACACATGCCCCTCTTCCAGCACACATGTGCCCTCCTCCAGCACACATGTGCCCTCCTCCAGCACACATGTGCCCCTCCTCCAGCACACATGTGCCCCTCCTCCAGCACACATGTGCCCCTCCTCCAGCACACATGTGCCCCTCCTCCAGCACACATGTGCCCTCCTCCAGCACACATGTGCCCTCCTCCAGCACACATGTGCCTTCTTCCCGCACACATGTGCCCCTCCTCTAGCACACACGTGCCCTCCTCCAGCACACACGTGCCCTCCTCCAGCACACACGTGCCCCTCCTCCAGCACACACGTGCCCCTCCTCCAGCACACACGTGCCCCTCTTCCAGCACACATGTGCCCCTCCTCCAGCACACATGTGCCCTCCTCCAGCACACATGTGCCCCTCCTCCAGCACACTTGTGCCCCTCCTCCAGCACACTTGTGCCCCTCCTCCAGCACACTTATGCCCCTCCTCCAGCACACATGTGCCCCTCCTCCCGCACACATGTGCCCTCCTCCAGCATACATGTGCCCCTCCTCCAGCACACATGTGCCCCTCCTCCAGCACACATGTGCCCTCCTCCAGCACACATGTGCCCTCCTCCAGCACACATGTGCCCCTCCTCCAGCACACATGTGCCCCTCCTCCAGCACACATGTGCCCCTCCTCCAGCACACATGTGCCCTCCTCCAGCACACATGTGCCTGTCCTCCAGCACACATGTGCCCTCTTCCAGCATACATGTGCCCCTCCTCCAGCACACGTGCCCATCCTCCAGCATACATAGACACAGTCATGTGTAAACATGGGCCTCTCACCTGAGATTGGCCTTCTGTAGCTGCCTCAGACACGCTTGTGACCTAGGTTTCAGGGATGAACTAGATTTTTTGACTCCACACTGAGCCTCTGAGTGTGTGTGGTTGGGGCCTCAGGAAGACTGTTCGTTGGAGTCTCTGCCTCCCTGTGCTCCTCAGGAGGCCCCCCAGGTGCTTCTCCTCAACTGGGGGTTCAGTGGGAAGAATGTAGACCCCCCCAGTAGCAGGCAGTGCACAGCTTCATTTGGCCACCCCATCATCTAGGAAGTGTCCAAAGCCACAGACCAGAGCTGGTACCCCTGCTTTCTTAGTGGGCAGGACAGGCGCCTTTCACAGGCGGGTGGCGGTGCTGAGCAGCAGATCCTTGTCCTCAGGAGCCCGGATCTGTTAGCTCTGCTCCTGGAGGAGGTGTGAGGAGCTCCGGCTTCAGGGCTGTTAGTTCTCAGCGTCCCGGCTGCATCTGTGTCTCTGCACGCATGTTTGGTGGGAACACCAGCACTTGTCCATGTTTCTGCCTGTGATCCTAGAGTGGGAGGGGTGACAGCTTGGTTATGAGGGTGGGAAGGAAGTACATCATCACACAGCTCCTTCCCTCCTCTTCCTTCCATCCCCCCCCCCCCCTTTTTTGGAACAGGGTCTCACTATGTAGCTCTGGCTGTCCTAGAACTCACTGTTTAGAGCAGGATGGCTTCAAACTCAGAGACCTGCCTGCCTCTGCCTCTCAAGTGCTGGGATTAAACGTAGTAGTCACTGTTGTGCTGTGTCCGCAGCCTTTCGTGGCTCAGTTGACACCTTCTCCTAGTCACCCATCCAGATGGCCACAGGAGCAGCACCTCCCAACCAGCCTGCATGCTGCTGTGTGTACCTCCAGATTTCTCTTGGAACCAAGAGTGTTCTTCTCTTCCAGATACACGTCAGGGGATGTGAGAGTGTGGGACACCCGCACCTGGGACTATGTGGCCCCCTTCCTGGAATCTGAGTCTGAGGAGGAGGAGCCTGGAATGCAGCCATATGTCTCCTTTGTGAGGATCAACAGCTCGCTGGCAGTGGCGGCTTACGAGGATGGTGAGTACCCCAGTACCTCAGCCCTTCCTCTCCCTGTGCAGGAGAAAGCCTCATCAACTGCAGCAGCTGCAGCTGCTCCCACCTCCTCCATGCACACCCATTCATATGCCCCCCACCTCTTCCCTACACACACATTCACATGCTCCTGCCTCCTCAATGCACACGCATTCACATGCTCCCACCTCCTCCATGCACACATATTCACATGTTCTCACCTCCTCCATGCACACACATTCACATGCTCCTGCCTCCTCCATGCACACACATTCACACACACCCCAGCCTCTTCCCTGGGAACACAAACACATACACATTCATGCACTGCCTTCTGCCTTTATGTGAAGAAGCTAGCCAATAACCCTGGTCCATTAGTAGGCATTGGAACATGGTACCCATTAAAACTGGTGTTTAATTCATCCTGGAACCATTGAGCTGGATATCATTGCCAGGCATCATGAGGCTGGCCAGACCATCTTAAGCAAATGGTGTGTTTAGTTTAAAATATTAAATATACTTGGCCTCCTTTTCCTGTATCCTTGGCTCAGGCTAAAAAGACTGGAGACAAGGATGGAGAGGTGGTCTGACATGGATGGGCAGAGAACTGACAGTCGGCGCCTGCCTTCACCTGGCACTCACCCACCAAGCACAGTCCTTGGTGTGCGGTCTCTGGCCTGGAGAGAATCCGGAGTGTGTGAGAGCGACTGTGGGTTTCCAGAACTGTTACGGGGATGATGGGACACGTGACACTGTTAGCTGAGGGAAGTGATCACGTCACTGGCCACAGCAGCCTGCCTGCCCGCGCTCACAGTCCTGATGTCCATTGTGTTGGAAAACCTGCAGCTCCCAGAGCCTCCCACTACCACCCCGGGCCTGGAATTTGCACCCCAGCACATTTCAGGGACTCTGTTCATACCAGGGCCATGCAGAAATTCAGGCAGCATGGTGTCATTTGGCACAGAGGGGTGGGGCCACAGTCGCTATTACAGAGTTTTGTAAACATCTAATATTTAACAATAAAATTCAGAGCTAAAAGAGTAAATATAGGAATTTTAAAAATTGAGTAGAACTTTGTACTTATTCTTCTGGTTTCATGTGAGTAGACACCACAAATGGACATTAGCTAAGTAGAGGCTGGGGGTGTGGCTCAACCTTGTGCTTGCCTGCCATCATGAGGCCCTGGTTCAACTCCAGCTTCCTCAAAACAGCGGCAACAGCAAGAGCAACAGCACGCTGCTTCTGTGGCCTAGTTAGGCTTTTCTCTGTGTGGTTGCCATCCCACGTGAGCAGTGTAGCCCCAGGTGAGCCATCCCAGGTGAGCAGTGTAGCCGCAGGTGAGCCGATCCCAGGTGAGCCATCCCAGGTGAGCAGTGTAGCTGCAGATGATCCGATCCCAGGTAAGCTGATTCCAGGTGAGCAGTGTAGCCACAGTGAGCCGATCCCAGGTGAGCAGTGTAGCCACAGGTGAGCATGCTTGCTGCTTAGTCTCCAGCAGGTCTTGCAGCTTTGGAACTCTAACAGCACTTGTCCTGCACTCTTGAATGGCGCACAGACTTGTACCATTGGGGAAACTGAAGGCCAGAGGGTGAAGTCGTTGAACCACAGCTGCTGTCCTCTCGCAGCTCCACTGTCGGCGGTAGTGGTGTTCCTGACAGCAGACACGGAGACGCGTGAAGGGAGCTCTGGGCTCAGCATCCCTGACGAGCTTGCACATAGAGCTTGAAGGGACAGTAAACTGTGGTACAAGTTAGGTGTGCAGACAGACATACAGACGCACAGTGACTGCACACGGATGTGCACGCATGCAGACACAGGGAGCCTGGTGCATGCTAATCACTGCTCCTCTACTGAGTGCACTTGGTGTTGACAAGAGCATCTTTGGCCATTGTCACTGTCTTTGCGTAGAAGTAGGGGAGCACCCTAGGCATGGTAGAGAACCTCCTTTATGGTAAATGTTTGAACAGGGGATCTCAAAACGTATGTCACAGATTTTGCTTAAAAACCTTAATTCATCCAGAAGTAGTGGACGTCTTTACTACCTGTATTTGGGAGGCAGAGGTAGGTGGAGTTCCGAGTTAGAAGCCAGCCTGGTCTACTTAGTGAGCTCCAGACCATCTGGGGCTACATGTTGAGGACCTATCTCAAAAAAAAAGAGAGCTATTAAGAAGGCAAAAGAAGAGCCGGGCGGTGGTAGCGCACACCTTTAATCCCAGCACTCGGGAGGCAGAGGCAGGCAGATCTCTGAGTTCGAGGTCAGCCTGGTCTACAGAGTGAGTTCCCGGAAAGACACAAAGATACACAGAGAAACCCTGTCTTGGAAGAAAAAAAAAAGTAGTATTCTTCAGCTTGTAGGCCCTCCTGTGCACACTTCAGTGTGTCTTGTTTTTTAACCTAATGACACACCTTAGTGACCTTCTGTGTTACTCCTTCCTCTCCTCAGTGTGGTGCCACATCTGTTGAGCCCTTGTTGCTGCACACCTGAGCTCCTTGTTCTTTTTGAAGGCAGTGACCTTGAATTTGTGTGGGCGTAAACCCAGGGTACAGCCCTGGCCATTGCTGGGTTGAAGGCTCTAGTGTTTGGTGTTTGGGTAAATAACTACTGAATTGTCCCCTAGAAGTGTTCCATTGTTGTCGTCTAAATTTTATGTGTGTGGGTGTTTGTCTACATGCGTGTGCCTGTGCACCACGTGCATGTAGTGCCCGTGGAAGCCAGAAGAGGGCACTGGATCCCCTGGAACTGGAGTGACATACAGTTGCGAGCCACCACGTGGGTGCTGGGAATTGAATCAGGGTCTGTGGAAAAGCAGCCAGTGCTGTAGCCATGAGCCGTCTCTCCAGCTCCACCCCTTGGCTTGTTGATGTGGTCCTGTGTCCGAAGCCTCGTTTTCACACCCGTGTGGTCCTCCTTTCTGTGTTAGCCTGTGCTCACTGAGAGCAGATGTGTGTGCGTCTGCTCTCACCAGCAGCGTTATAGTGAAAAGCTCGGTACACGTGTCCGTCCACGTGTGTGCAGGGAAGTCGTTTCCTGTAGGAAGGGTTTCCAGGTAGGAGGGTGAGCACAGTGTCTTCTGCTCTTGCAGCAGGTGTGAGCAGGCCCCTCTGCTCACTTTGGGGTGTTGGTGGATTTGGTAGGGAATGGTACATGACTATGGTTGTAGTTCTCCCGGTGGGAAGGGTTGAAGCTTTTGTGATCACACCTGCTGCTGTGGTCCTGTTTTCTTCGTGGTTTCGTCATATTAAATCCTAGCCAATGCTGAATCCATTCCAGAGCAGGAGGAAGAACGGACCTGAGGAGTGGTGGTCTCTAGCACCATGAGACAGGCTGCCATGTCCCGCAGGTCCAGGCTTCCGATAGGCGTGGTCTGTGCTTGGTCTATTCGGGGCACTGTCGACTGTCTGGTTACATCTTGAGCTTGAGGGTCTCGGGCTGGCAGGCAGTCACTTCGCTGTGAGGTCAACTGCAGTCCTTCTAGGATTCAGGATTTGCCTCAAAGCTCTGGCTTTGTCGAATGTGAAGACCATTCCTCCAGGAGCTCACCTCTCACACTAGCAGACTCAGTCAGATCAGGTTGTCGGGATTTCTGTGGTAGAGGGCAGCTTCTGGCCCTTTTCCAGATCCCAGGTGGCCTTGTCCTCAGTCTCACTTGGTTGGCAGATTGAGATAGTCCCAAAGAGCTGACTCGGAGCTCATAGGTGTAGGTATCAAATGCACATTCTCCTTGTACCCTCCAAGAGCAGTGGCTGGTGCTTCTGGGGCAAAAACACTAGAGAAGGACCTTGTGGGGTCTGCTGTGTGCAGTTTGGGGAGGTAATGACCTCCAGCCCTCTCGCTGTGAAGCCATTGAGACCCAGGCCCAATGTTGGAGCTGCCCACATTCTCTGTAGCAGGAGCCTTCCTGCAGGGCACTCAGTGGGAGACAACCCTGCAGCCCCCTTTCCTGAGCGCCCTGAGGAACCCTGCACACGCACCTGGGGAGCTGGGAGCTGGCAAGGCGATCCACAGTTGTGATTTTTTGAATTCCGACCCACTGGCCTCATATTTCTTGTGCCTCGTTTCCAGTTGTCAGCACTGGCCACCCTCCAGTTTGATTTGACCACTAATTGTGCGGCACGTTACCATCCCGAAATGAATCAAATCAGAACGCTTTTCCTGGAGCATTAGATAAAGCGAGCGAAGGTTCTGAGTAATGAGCAGACGCTGCTAATGCTGGGACAGTGGAGACCTTGCCAGGACGCCATCTGCACCGTGCCTGCCTGCCTGCCTTTGGCCTCAAGCCACGACATTAGGGATGGCAGTGCGCTGGGACCCAGGAGTTTCCCCTCAAAACCCGCTCTCCGGTGCGAAGTGAGATTAGACATTGTTCTGTGAGGACAGGTTTCTGTCTACCTGAGGGGGAAAGAAGAGGCGAGCCCGGGGGGCAGCAGCACTCGAGACCTTGATGGGTCAGGGCAGCTCACCGGTGCCACCAGGCAGGGTGAGCGGCTCATTCGCTCCCGCAGCACCTCAGGTAGTTGTCACACCCACAGGCCTCATTGTCAGCCGGACCCTGGTGACCATTTCTCACTTCCCAGTGGATCAGCGGTGGGTGGGAGAGGGTCTGCCTGCTATCCCACTGCCCCGAGGCTCAGGAACAAACAGCAGAGTTGAAGCCCCCTTCAGACCCCTAGACATTCACGGCATTTCCATAACAGCAGGAATGCTCATGGTTTTCTGATATTCAGGGGAGAATTAACAGACAAGTACATCGTGACCAGTGGGATGACTCAGGAGGTGAAGGTGTTTGCTGCCACGTCTGAGGCCCTGAGTTCTTCCCAGGGCCATGTGGTTGACAGAGAGCCAAGTGTGCGTGCACACGCGCGCACACACACACACACACCACAAAAGCACACTCTAAGTGTTACAGATTTTTAAGTGCAGAGTTCGGAGCTGAGATGCTTTAGAAATATTGGAGACATTGAACTCTTTTTTTTTTTTTTTTTTTTGGTTTTTTCGAGACAGGGTT